ACCCTAAAGCCTACATGTGACACATAAGTCCTACATCGTCATCTCTGACCCAACTCAGGTGCAATGTGAAAACTATCATGTTTTTCGTTTATACAGAGAATAACCGTACATACATATACATGTGTGTATGTATATATATATATATATATGTGCTTACATATATGTATGTATGTATATATATATACATATATATATATACATATATATATATATATATGTGTCTCCGAATTTTCAGTGGTCTATTTTGTTAACTTTTACATATCAAGAAGGATGGCATATTCCATGTCAGTTCTTATGTACTACACCCTGGCTCAGAGTTTGAAAAGATGTTCCAAGGTCGCCTGAATCCCATATACCAATCCAAGTTTCTAGCTCGGTTTAGGGTTTAGGGTTTACGGTTTGGGGCTTGGGGCTTGGGGATTATCTCAGTGATCTTTTTTCACCTGGCCAAGAAGTGGCATTCTACACTGTTTATTGCAGCCCTTGTCGCTGCAAAGCTGACCTCTTCATAATAATAGGGCTAACTATTCCGTCTGTGTTGGGCGAGTCAGGACGAACTCGGAAGAAGGGGCGACGAGTTCTAGTCGTAGCTCTTCTGCTTCAGACTTGGGGTTCAAGGTGTCGTTCTTCCGAGCTGATGATTGCCTCTCTCTCATCATGCGTCTATGCAACCACCCGGATTAGATGCAGCGAACTGAAAGACTGACACTTCATACCCGCCGTTCCGCAAACTCTGATGAGCGAACCTTCTCTCACCCCTGTCGGTCAGTGCGCAGACCCCTCAGCAGGTTTGCATGATACGTGGCACGCTATGTATCCGCTATGTCATCGAAACGGACAAAACTTTTGCAGGAGTTATAATTTATCCAGGAAGCAGTGTCGCCGCCCCTGTCGCCCGACTCGCAGCCGCTCGTAAATCCTAATTTTCTTTGTACACGGTGGGCTGGACAGCCGCTCTGGCAGCTGGGACAACGAAAGGTTCAGAGAGATGATCATGGCCACATCATCAATAAACGACGTCTTGTAGAAGGCTCGTCCCAGTACGGAACTCTTTCAGCTGCCAAGGAAATTAAATGCTCAAACCGTTCGGGCTTTGATCAGTAACTCAGCGATTAAAGCCCTAAACTTAAACCCTAAACCCGAAATCTTAAACCCTAAACTCGAAACCCCAAACCCGAAAGCCTAAACCCGAAACCCAAACTGCCCCAGGATTTCCAGCTCGGCTCATTGTTCCAGCTCTACACACATGCTCTTGCTCTGCAGGCGAACAGGACAAAGCCAGCCCGCCCTGATGACCGCTATTTCTTGCTCAGCCTTGAATGACATAACACGAAGTACCACCAAGAACCTCCTGAACGGCGGTGCCATTTCTTCAGGGCTCTGCTGGCCGGCGCGGACATCAGCTGCTGAAAGAAGCCACCCAGAGACTCCTTACCCACTTAAGCGATATGAGGAGAACTGACCTACTTGATTAAGAGGCTTTTGTCTCAGGGCGAGCCGGGTGGAGGGAACTGCACCTGGGTTTCCCAAACCACCGGGCCCCGGATCGCTTGCAGCCGCTAACAGGAATGGCCGTTAATGCAAGCGCTCTGAAGCATGGCGACGAAACCTTAAAGCCCTGAACCCTTACCCGCTTAAACCCTAAATTCTGAAAACCTAATCCCTAAACGCTCTAATCCCTAAACTTTGCCCTAAACCCTACCAGCCAATCCCTAAACGACCCGAAACCTGAACTCTCATCAGCGTAAGCTCCCAAACCCTCAAGCCGCCTGACCGAGCTGCCAAAGTAAATGAGAAACCACTGAAAACTGTCCTCAAACCAAACACGATCCTCAAAGTTTGGAGAAAACATAAGTCTGACATAAGCCCTATAACCCAATCCCGAAACAGATTAGGCCAACCCCCAAACACGACACTTCACCACGCTGAGCGAATTGGATGCATCTGTCGTGAAGTCTTCAGGTGGGTTACCACGAATCCAAAATCCGGATCGAAGCTCAGCATTCATCGTCGCATCGATGACCTTGGAGTCCCAAGTTGTGCATTCGCGACTTCGGAACCTCACCACACAAATACTGGTGCCAGACATGCCCCCCCTTGCAGGGGCATCAAGCCTGCAAGGCAACGACAGAAAGCCTCTTGCGGTGTTACGATCTGACACGACAATCTTACTGAATTATACTGGATTCTGCAGGTAACGTTCCAGGATCTCGTCCGATATGTTCTCGACGACCATCTTCTGCGTTGCGTTGCAATGATAGAACCTCAGGTGCACAGCTTCTGGAAAGCGGACCTGTCCCGCACTTGATTGACTTTTGCGTGTGGCCGTGATCTTTGTGCAGGCCCTGCAGCTCACGGACGCCATCCTTGAGGGCGGCTTTCATGCACTGGTCATAGAGCAATGGGCTTGTCAGGAGCCTCGCAGAAACCATCATGCTTCCACTTCCGAAGTTCTCCCTCGAAATAGCTTGAGACGGGATCGTTGGCTTGTTGCTGCAGCTGTTGGTCGAGTGCTTTTAAGAGATGCTGCTAGCTGAGCACCTTCTTGTAAAACCTACCGATACCTGGGGCCTAGAGGACTCCAAAAAGTGGGCAGTTTGCCTGAACACGCGGCTACATCGGGGAGGTGGTGTCGGAGCTTAGGGTTTAGTGCAGACATCTGGGCGAAGGTGCGCAGATTGGATATTCACGGCCGCCTCTTTAAGACCCCCAGGATCTCCGCAGGATCTGCACCCGGTCGAAGGATCTTGGCTTCTGTTGTCATCCAGACCTCTCCAACAGGACACTCGGAGCATGATAACGCTTGAAGGGTTTAGGGTTTAGGGTTTAGGGGATAACCTGGAGGACAGCAGCAAGCTTCACCGAAAAAGAAACAGGGACAAGGAAGCGAAGAAAAAATCTTAGCCCCTCAGGCTTGAGTCTAAATCTATAACTCGGAAAGCGCAGGGCGAGGTGCCGCAGTCGTTGGTGGCTTCAGGTTGTGCAGCAGTGCATCCAATGATTCATTCAGCTTCTCCTTCCGTGGGAGCGCTTTGAACTGGAGTTGCACTCTAATCTAAACCCTCAACCCTCAACCCCCTAACCCCCCTAAACCTGACACCCTAAGCCGCAGCCACGAAACAGGAGCATCTGCAGCTCTTTCTAAGATTGCCGCCAGTGTCTAGTCCTGCACCGTCTGCATCAAAGAGCTGCAAAAGCCGAGGTCGCCCTTGGTGGATACCTGCACAGGGGTTTAGGGCTCAAGATGGTTCAAGGTTTAGGAGTTAGGGCTCTTTTTTTTGTTTAGGGTTTTTAGGGAGCAGCAGTCCGAGATGTTGGTTACTTATCCTCGTTTGGGGTTTATGCTTAGGGTCTGGGGTCCGAGAGCTTATGCAGTGAAGCTGGAGCTGTTTCGGAGCTTGTTCTGAGCTCTGAGAATAGTACAGGTTTACTTGAACCGTATCGCAGGACTACAGCATTCTCAGAATAGCAGTCCACGATAACACTGTTGCCAGAATCGGACTATGGCATTCAATAAGGACTCTTTCAGTGTCAAGATATTATTACAGACTTGCCTCACAATGACCAGAGCTTGCTTTGGCAAGCTTCTCGAAGCTGCTGATGGCCTCAGGGAGGGACACTGTGAGTTTTAGACTTCTGCACTTGAGGTTGCACTGGTACCAGCACCACATGTCAGAGGTTCCGGCAGGCTCCGTTCCAGAAACGAAGAATGTGTCTCGAGATATGAAAGCCGCGATTGAGCACGCACCTCCGTCCTTGGAATGCTGCGGGGATCAGCCCACACATCATCTACAGCATCTGATTCAAGACCTTCCCATGCCTGTGCCTGCAAAGTTCTGAGTGCTCAAGGGCTACCGGGACACCTCCTTTGCAGCAGCTTGCTTGCACAACGTGGACACCAAGGCATTCTTGAAGCCGGTGACACAAATTGTACGCTGCTTCTTGCCAGACCTCTGCCGCCATTTCCGCCGGTGCATGAGTGTCAAGCACTGCACTGACTTTGATGCGACCACATCTACTTGGACTTTTAGGGGTTTAGGGTTTAGGGTTTACGGTTTAGGGTTTAGGGTCTGCTCGCCGGCAAGTGTGGGTAAGGCCCTGGCGAGGCTAGCTCCGCGGCGGCCTCTTCTGCCACCTTTGCAAGCCTCAGGCCATCCTCCACGGTCATGACACCGGCCGCGCAGAAGGCAGCCAAGGTCCCTGTGTCGAGACTGGTAAGGCTTGGATAGCTTGCATGGAGGTGCGGACCACCCAATGAGCTTTGCTGGAGCCGCATGATTCCGTGAACAAACCGAAAGTACTGTATTTTTGAAGCTGGCTCACAGCTGCGCAACGATGACTGGATGTGGCCTCGAACCACTGCTTGAACCTTGCATGCTGGAGTTGATGCCCAGAACTTCGAACAGTGCACGAATTCTCCTGCAACAGGCTCATCCGGCTAACCCTGCATGCCTCCAGGGCCGACAGGCACGATTGAAGCAGCGCCACACACCTCAAAAGGGTATGGCCAGATGCAGGCGTGAGGATGTGGGAGGCGGCTGTGCGTTGCAGGAGTCTTCTTAGATGCGTGTCCCTGACGCAAGTTGGGTCAAGACAGCACGACACTATTCACTGTGAAACCCAGAGCAAGAATATGTCAAGACCCGGGCCCCAGCCTGCGGTCTGTTATTCTTGAACTTCTCCAATCCAGCGAGGGAACCAATGAAGCCATTCAGGGGGCTGTTGTGAACGTTGACAGTTTGCGTAGTCGTGCTGCAGCCAACGACGGACTTGGCTTTCTGTACCAAATCTTTCACTGCCGGCAGCTCCAACGACATGACCTTCAACGGCACACGCGTGTTCCAAGGATCGAGAGAACAGTCACCCTTTTGGACATGCCTCGAGGTCATCTGCCGGCACATGGCTAACGTCCAAGAGGAATGCAGTCTTGGGCGGAATGGCCTCGCAGGGGCCGAGTCTGACAGCGTTTATTTGGTCGCCACAAAACTTGTTTTTACAGTTGGTACCTTCGTGAACTAAGGATTCGGTTGAAAGCCCTGAATTTGCTTCATTGAGCTGACAGATTGGTCTGCAGGTCGCTTCCCCAGAGCCACCCGGCTACTCCGAACAAGCAAAACTTAGACCAAAGACCTGCGATACAAAGAGATGGTGCTTCTGTGCCTCCTCTTCGGCTTTGGCTTTGCCGTCTTTGGCATCCTCTCTCCCGCCACGAGCTTTCAGTGCGCCGAGGAGGCGAGGGGCGTCCGCTGACAGCGACGCATCCTACGAGGCGGAAGACCGGTTTGGCTGTCATGGTTTAAGCTGACAGCTACCGTATGACTGGTGCCGTGAAGTCCGGGAATGAACTGCGAAGGGTGGCTTGAGCGTCACAGGGACCGTTTAGATTACTGCAAAGCTTCCAAGTCCAAACCTCGGCAACGACTCGTCTGCCAACACAGGCGCTGAAAACTGCCAGCTGGAACGCCCCGATCAAATGAACACAGATGCGCACCGAGCTGTGTCCGTCTATCTTCTCAGCGCGCAAGTGCGCGGCGATCCGCACGACTACGGGATCAGACTACCAAAGGTGCCTCAATAATTAGAATACGGTTTTGTGTCCCATTATACTGTACTTATAATAAGGATACTATTCTATCATGAAGGACAGGAGCCAATACGAGGCCTTCGATTCCCGCCAATGCTTGCCTCCTGTGAGCCGTCCGCCACGATGACGTCATGTTCGGGAACTCCGAGGTCCTCCCCGTTTTTGCTTTGACAAGTGGTTAGATATCATTTAGGGTTTAGGGTTTAGGGTTTAGGGTTTAGGGTTTAGGGTTTAGGGTTTAGGGTTTAGGGTTTCTGCTTCTCTGCCTTGGGCTCATGCAGTCTCGATACTCTGGATAAGTGTACGACGGCCCCCCAAGTGCAAAAAGCAGAGAGCCTACAGTGCCAATGCCTTCACGGAGCGCTGGTCTTCCAATTCGTCGCCCTTGAAAAGGTCTTTCACAGATGCCTGGCATTCTTCGCCCACGTAAGGACTGCCAGCAAAAGCGTGAATGCAGAGCGTCAGATGCCTCATTTGGGATCGCCAACTTCAAGCTTGATGCCCCAGACTTGCAGGAAACCTGCCGTACAAAAACCACGAAGCTTCAAAGCTCACTCTCGGAGCGTTAGCTGCACCTAGGGTTTAGGGTTTAGGGGTTTAAAGTTTAGGGTTTGGGGTTTGGGGCAAAGAGGGCTTAGGGCCTGAGCCCTCCTTGCGGCAGCACTCGGCTCTTCTGCCTGGACCGTTGCTGTTAGCGATGCCAGCGCCAGAAAAGCTACGACGAGGACTCAGACCCCCACGAAGCTGAAGCCTGAATTCGAAACCGACGTCTCAGCGACAACTTTAAACCTTAAACTCCAAAGTGTCAGCAATTCAGGACCTTCAACAGAAAGCTTTTCGGATCCTTCGGAGGGCCTTCAGCGACGACGTGGTCTCTGCATCCACTGATGAACCGCCTCTGCTGCATCACAATGATTCCGCATCGTAGACCACTCAGCCTCTAAAGCCCGAAAGCCTTGAAGCCAGTATAAGCTAAACCCTAAAACCTCAAACCCTAAACCGTAAGCCCCGCTCTTTCCGAACCTCGCGAGAGGCAGCAGTCAGCCGAGCCGGCTTCTGCCTTCTTCAGGCATCGGGCATCCAGATTTTTAGGTTTGGGGCTTAGGGTTTAAGGCATCCGACGTTCAGATTTGTGGGGTTTGCCGCTGGATTTTTGGGCTCTGGGGGTTTGGGGAATTTTCGGGCTTCGGGGTGTCTGATTTCAGAATTTGGGGTCTTGTTCGGTTTTAGAGTTGAGGGTCTGGTAAGGAGACAAAAAGCAGATTTAGGGAGGCGGGAGTAGGCCGCAGCATCAGTCAAGGGTCCAGACAAAGGCTTGTGCGGCGCAGTCCCTATCCGCGGAGGGCTGGTGGGACGCAGTACGGTAAGAAAGCGAACATGATGCAAAATTTCTTTGTATGGAGCCTGTCAGTCGCCCTACCGCCTGAAGCCGAGAATTTGGTATACTAAACTTCCATAGACTCAAAATACTGAAAGCAACACTTGCCTGCAAGCCGACAACCTCATGTGCCCGGGACCCAAACCCGGGCAGGCCTCCAGTTCCAGGCGCATCTGACCAAACTCCTCTAAAGGCGATATACTGACGCAGCTTCTTGAAGAGTTTCTGTAAGACTTCGATTCGGTTTTGCGGGCAATGTCAATCCGGACATAGGTCGGACAACGTGTCATAACTTAGTCATCACGTGTCAACGTCGGTGGTAAGTCGCAAAACCCACAACCTTATAACTTCTAGCCTTGCAACCTTAAGCCCTTCTTGAAGGATGGAAGGCTTCGAAGTTGGGATGCGCGATGTGCGGACTTGCAGGCGGTTAAATAGGATGATGAGCCCCCTTTGAGCACTAATCTGACATGTTCCCTGAAAACCCTGCCTATATGAACCTAAGGCCCAAACCGGAAGCCCACGTATGCGCAAGCTCCGGGCTTGATAGAATCCTGAAGAATCCTCCAGTTTACACTTCCGGGTTCTTCAGTGAGCAAGTGTGGGCGCCTCTTCTAGTAAATGTTTCCCGACACCTCAAACTCGGTAGTCTTTGCCATGAAACCTCCAAGCCCAGCTCAAATAAAAACCGAAGTCTTCGGTACAGGCGCCGGGATAGTGTTTAATGGTCGGCGGTGGCGTGGTACTGGACCCAGAATTGGGTTCAGGGCTTTGCACCATCGGGCTCTTGTGGCGATTGGTCCCAAGTCAGCTCCTCGTCGCCAATGTCCAGGGCCCGGCGGATGCCATCTCTGGCCACCTAACGGCGGCATTTAGGAATTAGGGCTGAGGGTCACTACAGGGCCGAAAGCTTTGCTGACAGTGCTTGTCAGTGCTCTTTCTGTACATGGTTCAACTCCGCGTAGATGGCATACCCGGATATAAACTTCCAATCAGCTTGGCCTTTCTGTCGACTTCTGTGCAAGAGGGCTTTGCGGGTAGACTTTGGGTAGGCTTCTTCCTTCCGCCGATGAGGTTCTTCTTTCGAACGTCTTCAGCTTCGACCGCAACTCAGCTCATTACCCAGAAAGCCCCGAGGGTAGCTTACAAAAGCTATCCAGGCAGAGGATGAGATGCACATGAAGCCGCCTTCTTGCTATGAGTTTTCCACTTAACTCTATCATCTCACCATAATAACCCTATAACCCCAAAGCCTTCAAACCCTCCCATAACGACATGATTGTATACGTACATGCAGCAGCCTTAGAGTCCCACGGGCCCTCTCAGTTCTGCAACAAACCCCGCGACTTTTCCAACATCAAGCCCGTAACCTAAGCCACACATATGGCTGCAGGTCCCAGGCACTCCAATTTTACGCATTTCTTCTTTGAGTCCTTTGTAAATCAGTTCATTTGAAGCTTCGGGATGGTTCGAGGTTCCAGTTCGCGGTCTTGGGCCTCGGGTTAAGAGCTTGGCTTCAGGACCTCGGGGTGTTACGCCTAGGACAGGGACGAAGCTTTCTTGCGGGGCAAGGATTTCGACACACGTATACAGAAGACCTAGCACAATCCTGGATAATTAATCAAGTAATTGGCCCAGATTGTCGTGCATAGTTTGCCATCTTTTCCTGAAGCTGTAAAGGAAGTCGAGCAGTACATGACCCGAGCTCGAAGCATGTTCTCTGCTGTTCCACCAGGCCCTGCTTAACAAGGCTTAAATTAAAGTATCACGAAGGCCACTGCGTTCAAGGCCGGAAAAGGCAGTTAGGCTTTGTCACGACCCTAGCCCCCGAAACCTTCCATCCGAAGACTCCGGAGAGCTTGGACTCGAAGATAGGAACTGTGAACTCTGCAAGCCCGAAGCCCCAGAACTGAAAGCCCCAAGCTCCAAAGCCCGTAACCCGACACCCTCATAGCCTAAACTGCCGAAACCCTAAAGCACGAAGCCCTGAAGGCCCAAAGTGAACAGTTGACCCGAAAGAGCCACCGTCAGTCTGAGGGAAGCCCAAGATGGTGGGGATCCTGGGAAGAGCTGGGTCCTGGCCACATATCTCTCTTTAAGATACCATACCAGAGACAGCACGAAACTTACTGCGTAGCCCCAAGTCAAACAACTTGAAATCAGCTCCTGAAGACTGACCGAGAACACTGAGGCTCAGGCGCATGAGCTTTTGCTCGGCTTCCGGCCTCTCCTTCAACGGGGTTCACTGGCCCCTTGTGAAAGTACTTAGTTACCTAGTTCAAGATGCCACAATAAGGTGAAGTATATTCTCCCTAAACCCTAAACCCTAAACCCTAAATTGCGCCGCTGTGGTGGCTTAAACTCCTTCAGAAACTTCATGCGAGGCAATGTCGAAGCTTGTAACCCCATGCCCTTATAAAAAAAACTGAACTGCAAAAAGCCCGAAATCGGAAACTCCAAAGGGCCTGAAGCCCTAAGCCCTAAACCCTACACCCTAAACCCTAAATCCTAAACCCAAAGCCCTAAACCCTAAACCCTAAACCCTAAACCCTACACCCTAAACCCTAAATCCTACACCCTAAACCCGAAAAGCCCCACGCGCTGCCCAAAGCCGATCCGACGCCCTCTTCCACCCGGCCTTGCCGACTTTGACTCCCTCATGGAGGGTCTGCCTCGGTTTAGGGTGAGGTTTAGGGTTTAGGGTTTAGGGCCTCGGAATTTCCGGAGAATGGCTTTAATAATTAGAATAAGGTTTTGGGGAGATAGTCTACTATTATTATAGTAATAAGGAACCCCCAAAATAATATAGGTAATGATTAAGGACCCTACAGTAGGGTGTTCTGTTTAGAGGTTTGGGCTTGTCGTTCAGTTCAGGGCTTCGAGTTTTCTGGCAGGCCACAGGAAACAGGCTCGCCACAAGAGGAAGAAGCAGCAGTAGCCCCCATGCAGCAGTGGTGCGAAAGCATCATTTTAATTGCAACACCATTGCAGCATCCCGATTATTACACATCCTTATACGTCCTTAGGCTCTTGTCGCTTTAGTGTACCATTCATACTACTAGCGCATTATACGAGTAATGTCATTGGAAGCCCTCAATCACCACAGCCGAGGAGCAGCTTCTTCGGCGACGGAATTTCGCGGAGGAAAACTTGGCAAACAATGGCGGAGTTCGGGTTTATTTTGAGGTAGAAGGGCTCCCATCGGGCTTGGATGGGGAAGACGGAAGACGGAATTCAGGGTAGAGGGTTCACGGGTCAGGCATCGTGTTGGGAGGTTGGGCGTCCTTGCTTGCCTCCTTGGAACCCTGAACCCCTGGCTTCCATCGCTTCCGGATTCAAAGTGCTTGCAGACGTGGCACGTGCCATCAAATCGCCGAGAAATTGGTTCACGTTGCAATGCAACTTCACCTTGCTGACCTGGAGTGTTGACGACTTTGTGCTTTCTGTGTTACTCTCATCATGGCTTCAGGGCTTATGAATGCTCCTTGTTTACTCAGCATGGCAAGCACCACTCCCGAGATCCCGCCCTTAAACCCCGAAAGCCACAAGCCCTAATTCGAATAGAGTACACCGAATCCCCAAACCTGGGCGAATTTCGACGCAGAAGTCAGAAGCTGAAATCCCAATAGCCGTCACGTGCTTCTAAGGCTGCATCGGCAAGCCGCACAGCCTTCAGCGATTCATTAAGAACTCCCCCAACCCGAAATGCAGAGAAGTACCAGAAAACGGTGTATCGCTGAATAGTCCAGAGCTCAGAATCTTCTCTTAGAAGCTCCAAAGCATCATCAATCACTCGGGCCTCGTCGTTTTTCGAGAGGAGGCGAGGAGTGACCTGGCTACGCAGAAGCTTTGGGGTTGGGGTTTAGGGTTTGGGGTTTGTAAGGTTTTTGGGCCTTTTCCTGTTGTTGAGCTCTCTATTCTTCCCAGCCCGGTGTAGGCATGAGCATGTGTGTCAGGTCGGAGTGAATGGGATAGCTGCAAGAGCAGTGGAACACGTGGGTTCAGGAAATGGCTCGTGGACTTCAATTATTCAATGAAACCCTTGCCGAAACTTCCAGCAAAACACTCAAAGTAAACCCCCACATCTCAAATAATGTGTGCCCAGATACCCGAAGCCTCAAAGCTTCGTTGACGGAAGCCACGAACCTCCAAACTCCCCCGCATGCAGCTGACCCTGAGCCACAATTCATCCTCCAAAACCCTGATGGCTGCGATGATCCGTGTCGTGTTGGCTCCGGCCGGGATAGCTCGTGCTCTAGAGCAGGCGGATGACTGCATAGACACTTAATTGCTTCGAGATTTGGACTTGCAAACGTCTGCTTATCGTGCTGAATCTGCCCGTAACGTAAACCTTCCACCCACTGCACCTCCATTCTGCGGTCGGAGCTTCCATCCAAGTTCACAAGGTTCGCCACCAATTGGGCTGCCTTGTTCAGGATCCGGGTTCCGGCCTCGGCAGGTCAGAGTGTAGAGTGTAAGGCTTCCAGGGACTAAAGCTTACGGCCAGCGTTCTGTTGGGCTTTTGCTTGAAAGCCAAGTCGAGGTTCATCCACGTGCATCTGCTTGCACTTGGACATAATCTCGTCCAGGTAGCCGCTGTAATTGCCTCGCTTCGGTAATGGCAATGCCATGCCTGCACTGCTATCTTTCGACGAGGTCACGGGAAGTCCGCAACCATCTGCCATAGAAGCCCAGCTGCAAAGCTGTAGAATCGGCTCGCTGTGGAGCTTCTGCACCAACTCCTATGTCGGATGTTAGCTTAGTGTAGAAGCCCCAATGGTACGAATATTCGTGCTTCACAACTTCACAGTCACTGTGTAAGCTTGTAATTTGTATGACATTGTATGACATACTGCAAGGCTTCTCTCTGAGAACTTAGGCCCTTTTAGGCCCCTTCGATGAAGATCGCTTCTCCGCCTCGCTATGACAACACAACCAGAACTGAGCCAAACCCGAACTCCCAAATCCTGATTAAGGGTGTAGGGGTGTAGAGTGTAGGGTTTACCAAGCCCAACACTGACGTCAGAAAATTAAGACAAAACTCCGCCAACTACTCTCCTCTGGCCCTTGTCCGAGTCCTTCTTGGACAGGTCTTTCCCAAAGTGCATCAAGCTGAAGCCGTCACTGAACTTGGTGCACACATTCCTGAGGCTCTCCCCTAACCCCTAAGCCCCCAAAACCCTAAACCCCTAGGCCCTAAACCCTAAACCCCTAAGCCCCCAAAACCCAAAACCCCAAAGCCCTAAGCCCCCAAAACCCCAAAACCC